TTATTGGACACTAAGTGAATTAAAAAAATCTGTTTTTCAATAAATACTGTAACTGAGATATGGGCACTGATAAATAAAGTTAATGATCACTTTCGGGGGGCATTACGCTCAGTTTGAAAACAAACCTTTTGCCATTGATACTACATTATTAGTTAAAATATAAGTATTTATTATTCCCTTTATTTGCTATTTCTGAAAAAAAATTGGGCTACATTGTTTTTTTTTACACATATAAAATTTGTTATTATTTACTTCTTTCAGAAGATACATATATTTACAAAATTAAGAACATATCAAATACTCCACATTTACAATGGGTATGAACATCTATCAACTAAACAGCCACAATAAAGAYCTTTAAAGGTAAACAATAATAAGATTAACTTTTACAAGCTGTTTTCTTCAAATACTGCTACTTATTTTACTTCGTACTAAAAGGCTCCCAAACGTAAAGCGGTAAACGGAAAATAAATAAGCTTTTCATTTCTGATTAGGAGAAAATCAGACGGCATGACTCTCAGGCATGCAGGGGACCTGAGAGTGCTTTGTATTCATGCCGCTCAGGACGGGTCTCGATGCCCCGCAGGCTTCATTCTGCAATAAAAAAAAGAAAAAACATTATTAAAAAGGAACTGAGGAACACATTTTATCAGCAGTTCTGTTCTTAAAACGCTTTTATAGGGAGGTCTCGGTTGAATGACTATGAATCCCTTTACTGGAGTTTTAATTACGGTGTATARGCAAAGGAAAACACAAATTTAAAAAAGTGTCACTTTCTAAAATATGAAAGCAAGCTTCACTCAAGTATCAGCATCAATAAAAGCAATGAGCTGTGTCTGAGACTTACACATCCACATGCGGATACATGACCCACAGAAGGCAACACAAGAGGAGATCTGAAGGCACCGGCCACATTCTGGACTCATCAGACAGTCTCTGAACTTCAAGCAGCACGTGGGGCAYCCACCTTTCTTTTTGGAGCTTTTATCCTGCGTGTCTTCATAACTCTGTGGCTGATTTGTCCTCGGCTTTTCATCCCATTCCTCGCTCTCACCTTTTCCCATGATGCTGGTTTAGTTTGTCACAAGTCCGATTTCAGAATAAAGAATGTCAAAGACCGGCGTTTAAGATCTGTGGGAGAAAAGAGAGGAAAGTTGATCATTTTCATGAGAAATCAAATCAGCTCGACTCCCACGCTATTTTATTTATTTAAATGTATAATTTTTTTTTTTGCTTTTTTGACAGCAGTGAAAACACATCCTGTAACCAAAAGGAGTGGGGTTTTAATGAGTGAATAAATCTGAATTTATTTTTAAAAAGTCAGAATTTAGTATTATTTATTGTGGAAAAACATCAAGAGAAAAACAAAAAAAGTCGAATCTTGACAGGTGGGGACAAAGTGAGCTAAGGAGGGTGTGATGTGGGCATGGATGGAAATGTAT